AGTTATTACACATATAGACAAGCATCATTATGGGGTAAATATATCTACCAGATCATCATATCCTGCAAAATGATCTTGGCTATCTTGAAACGGATCCAATGAAGGTATGACTGATGCCTGGGAGGATACAGAAGAATTGTTCTCATTGGCTGTTTGTTAAAGAAGCTTCTGTGCTAACTCAATGAGTACAGTAGACTTCTTCTTGGATTGCTTACTAGAGTCCTTAGAGAAGGACTTTTTCTGCTTAGGTTCTTCTGTAATGGATTTCTTGAGCTCTTCTGGAGTAGAAATCCGGAGAGAAGGTATAACCTGCTTGGCTGGAGTTGCAGGAGTTAAGGTTGCTAGAACCGTTATAGGGGTTGGAACCTTGACTGGGAACTCCTATTTAACTCGGTCAATAATTTGTCCTTGCTGGAACCGAGGCTACCATTTGACATAGAACTGTCTGGCGACATTGAAACCAATAATTTCTCATTTCCATTTACATATCTATGAGACTTTATACCTACAAATAAATGTTAGTAAAATAGAAAACTGACTCTCATGTTTACTAGGTCTATAAACAGAGAAGAATGCTATAATCTGATCTTGAAGATCAGCTGAAAAGATTTCATGAATGGGGTCATAGATAAACCACCACTGTGCAAACCAGGACGGAATCTGACTCTTGAAATCTTTATGAAACTAAATGAACCAGGAGTGATTTAAATAATCATCCTGATAGAAAATAAGTTTAAATCATGACTCTTTGTAGTCATAGTAATTAAACTTTTATTATGATAGGGTAGATCTCGGAGCAAAGAAGGATGAGATCCCCAATCTTTGAGAGAAATAATCTTTAAAATATTTAAAGAGTGATAAATAATTTTACTGAGGTCATTCTTATCAGCTATGGGCTTGATAAAAATGGACTGAATAAAAAATAGTATATCCTGATAGAACTGGAAGTTTTTTTTTCAGGATCAGATCTAATAAAGGTTTATCCTGGCTCAAGGTATGCTTTGACAAGGTCGCTTAGGTAAGCATAGACTGGTTCAATGACAAATACGTTTTGGGTATATGCCTTAATATAATCAACCTTTGGGCCTTTGTGGGCTAACTGTGGTTGTTATTGAGAATATGAGTTAACAAGCTGGCTAGAAGTGCCGAGTTGAGATGATGCAATAGGTTTTGGGGCCTGCTGGGCCATTTGGAGGAAAGTGCTAGGCGGGACTGTGGTTGATTTGACTACTGGCCTTGTTGGATTAGGATTACCAAGAGGTTGGAATCTATTGGTAATTTGGATAACAGAGGACTGGGGCTTTGGGCTTGACAAAGCTAACTGTTTGTCAAGGTTTGTCTTTTCTTGGATAAATATCTGACTAAGTTTTTGTTTTCCAGTATCCCTCCCGGCTATGGAAGAGGTACCAAGTTTATTGTTTTTCCTGTCCGCCATGAGGTTCTTGTAGAAATTCACGGGTTAGGAAATCAAGGATGTGGTTATTACTGTCTTTAATATATTCGATGTTAAAATCGAAAATACTTAAAATAGATTGTCATCTGACAAAAATCTGCTTACTAACAATGTTTTATACGTCTTTTTCTAAAACATACTTTGTTAATTTGCAGTCTACTCTTACTAAACATTTCTGGTTTAGTATATCGTCCTGAATTTTGAGACACACAGGACAATAGCTAAAATTTCTTTTTTAATAGTACTATAAATTTGTTTGAGCTTTGTTCCAGATGCCATAGTAAAAACGAACAATTTGCTCTGGAGATTCTAGAGTTAGCTTTTGGAGTAGGATACCACCGTAGTCAATATCGGAAGCATTAGTTTAGATGATTTTAAAAGAATCAACCGAAAGAATACAAGACAAGACAAAGTTTTAATGAACTGCTTGACTTGTTGAACTATAGATGTATGAACAGATGTCCAAGGAGAAGGATTTCCTTTGAGCCTGTGATACAGATGTTTGACGATTTTCCTAAGTTCTTGATAAAAGTCAGAAACATAATTTAGGAAATTTAAGAACCTTTGTACTTGAGTTTTATCAATGATCTCATCAGGGAACTTATCTGTAAATTAGATAGAACGTATATATATTATTCATTATCTGTATCTGAAGGCACTATATAACGAATAAAAATTCTTACACAATTCCCTAAATTAAAAATGAATGGCATAAAATTATTCACATCAAATTTTTTTTAAAATGATTCGAAATATATTGTCGACTATATCTTCTATATTAATGAAACAATTATAAAAATATATAAAAATTCCCCAAAAAAACACCATATATATAAATACATTTTGAATACGAATATAACCCGTTTAAATTTACAATTTTTAAGTAATAAATAAAATTTTGTTTATTTATAAAACTTACAAATTTATCACCTCTACCGCCACTCAATTCAATAACTAAACATAGTTATAAACGCAATCACCATATTTTTAATACACATTATCCCCGTGTAATAAATATCTCAAGTAAAAAAAAATACTAACAGAATACTATTAAATTTACAATCTGTAAGCGATAAATAAAATCAATCAAATCTTACTCATTTATAAATTTCACGAATTTATCAGCATTCAACCTCAAATGACATAATATAATTATAAATTTAATTATCAAATGTCCAATCTTCCACATATAAATATACACAGAAACACACTCTCACACATTTATTTTTTGCCTACTAATAAATCATCCCAACTAACAACTGTTTTTATCAGAAATACAATAATTCAAATTTTCAAGATAAAATAATAATAAATTAATATCTAATTAAAAAATAGCATAAAAATACGGACATCCCCTGAGTTTTGATAATATTATACGGTCACTCCTAATATTTTATAAATAACACAGAGATCTCTGATGTTTAAAATTTATTGCACAAAGACATTATGTCTCTCTTTTGTCAATGTTGCTAACGAAAAGTGATGATTTCAACCCAAAATTTTTTATTATTTTTACAATTGTCATTCTCTAACTTTGGTATCCAAAAAATTGATATAATTTAGTACCCCAAAAAATTGATTAAATGAATTTTAATACTAATTTGATAACAATAAAAATTAATTTGATATTAATTCGACAAAGTTGAATATAAATTAGACAAAATTAAATATCAATTTTTGATAAAATTATATATTAATTTATAATTTAAGGTTCATTTTGTGTTGAATATTATTTGGTGTTGATTAAACCAACATAAAATTGTCCTTAAATTATAAATTTTTTGTTGTATATAAACTTAAAAATTTATATTTTAACTCATAAATTTAAATACAAATATGTGCATAGCATAGTGTCTTCCCTTTTACTATATCATTTGATAAAAAAAATTTTGGTTAAAATTCGATTACACATTTAAACCAAATCTATTATTCACCCCCATTTTTTTTTAAAAAAAATCGCTCACTTCCATTTGGTAAACTCAAAAATCTCTAGTTCACGTGAAAATATGTGAAAGTAAATGAAAAGGTGACAAAAAATTTTGAAACATTGATACTTCAAAAAAATTAAAAAAAAATTAGTAAAAAAAATATAACAAATAGAGCAAACATTAAAGAAAAACTACAAAAATAATCTTTATAAAAACCATAATCAATGAGAATTCTAGAAGAATTTATGCCCTGAATCAATTAATACCTAATTTTAGGCAAAAATGTGAAACTTAAATAAAAAAGTCATCAAATCGTGAAAAATATGTACTATTTTTTATTTACATTAAGTGTTATTTACAAATTAAAAAAAATGACAAAATACATGTCATTAGATATATAAAAACTTTAAATTAATTTTATAGAATAAATAATTACATAACATGTACTTTCATGTTTTGTGGAGTAAACAAAAAATTAACACAAGAAAAACAAAAAATAAAAAAAAGATAATAATGAGAGAGAGAGAGAGGGAGTTAGATGACATATAAAAGTCTTAGAAAAATGTCACATAAAGACCATCAGATTAATAATTGTCAAGTGATCTAGGTCACAAAAAATTCAAAACAAACTTTTCTGACTACTTTATTATATATACTAATTATAACCCGTACCTGAAAACACGATGAAACATAAGATTCTAATGTTCTAAAAATTAATTTCACTATACCAAATTTAAAATTAATTTGATTGCTAACTTCGTTTAAAATTAATTTCTACCTATCAATTTCTTAAAAATAGAGTCAAAATTTGATCAAAATGCGTGACTCGACAAAATTTGTTCTGCATGTGTATACTATAGTATATGAATAATGTATGAAATAAAAGTTGTATTAAATTATAATTGAACCAAATATTAAATAATAGAATTGAGTGATATAATATTTTTTGAGAGAAAAATATATAAAAAATAAAAATTCAACTTGCTAACAGATTTATATATATATATATAAAGGCAGGATGATTCCCAGAGCTTTTAGCAAGTAAAATTGTCGAGCTCATATCCCATTTCAGAGCAGAAAATATATATCCCAGACCTTGATTAGTAGGAATTAAAACTAGCATTACTCATTTATTTAACATCCCACCTCGGGTAATTCACCCCAAATAATTCTCAGTTTGACAACAATACACAGGCTCACTTAAGAGTCTCATACGACTAAACACACTGGTGTTTATCCAACACAAACAACGGAAATTGGACAAGAAGAAAGAACAAAAAAAGACTGAATATTCCTCAAAAACATACCCCAGGCAGATGATTATATCTGAAATAGAAGCATATGATGAATGGAAAGAATGCTACTCTACATCAACAAGCACTCCAACTTCACACGCCTATATTGCTTTGGCATAACATCAATTTACAGCAAATAAGAGTGTAATAGTGTGCTTGAACATTCATGCACCTCAGCCCCTTTAACAGTCCACATTACGCCTCTACCAAAAATATGTGCGGAGCAGCGGAGATATAAAATATATATGTGGTGGAACGGCTCTGCATTCTGTCTCCCAAAAAATGGTGCAGAGTTCCAAATGAAGTTGATGAATGGCAAAGTATTTAAAAAAGCTCCTCTGAATTAAATTTGTTCCAGGCCTCCTATTTTGACATGCCACAAACTTACAATGAGAGAACCCAACAGACAGAGCCAATAGTAGAATATATCAACACATAAAAAGACCGGAATGACCTATATAACGGAAATTACGAGTGCACTAAAATGAAACATAAAAAATGGAGCAAAACTAAAGAAATTAAATTTCAAGAAGAGGAAAAAAGGAATGAACATAAAATCTGATGGAGTTGACATAAAACGCATGGTTATTACACACTCCCAATCAACTTGAAAACCTTTATTCAATTAGAAGTCATCTCCTTTACTCAAAAAAAAAAAAAAAAAGAATGGATCTAACTTTGCAGGCAAAATAAAAGTAAACTGCAAACTACAATCCAATAAAACAGATGCTGAAATTAAGCACTTGGGAAGTAATTATATTACAATACACGAAAATTTGGTATAAATTTGAATTATTTATTATATTTGTTCTTCACAGTAAGATAGAAAATGCTGCTACTGATAAGAGTTCATGTGAATATAGTTCAATGACCTTTTTTGCAAAAAAAATCATTACTCCAGTAAACGAATAATAACGAGCACCAAAACCATTTTTAATGACCAAAAGCACCATCTTGGCAACGTATACAGAAAGAAAATTCAAACAAGTACCTTAAGCAGGTCAAACACCTTCTCAGCAATATATTTCTGTTGCAGATTAGCACCTTTTTGTTGCACCTTGTCAGGATGGATGCACAAAGTTGCCTTCCTGTAAACCTTTTTAACTGAGGCACCCGTAATCAAATCAGTCAAAGAAACAGGCTGCCAACCACATTCAGGCCAGAGCACCTGCTTGTCATTCAACAGAGGATCAGCCAAGTTAGTTTTGTTATCACAAACAAAAGAGTAAGAACCAAAAATAAAGTCTCTCAAAAACCCAGAAAAAGTCAGTTGAGCACAAGAATTTAATGACAGAAGAAAAAAACAAAACATAGCATTATCATAGCAAATAAAATACGTGCATCGCATTTGACATTCCTTCACATGTATCTGGAACTCAACTAATTGGTCCTGTTTTTCCTGTCCTTCAAATTATCCCTTTTTTGTGGTTTTACAATTCAACCTATCATAGTAACATACATTTGAATAAAAACAAACAATAATACTTTGTGATAATAAGTATCTCCAGTGCGGCTACATTTTGCAAAATGGCATTAAGCTAAAAACTTATCACGGACTCAAACTTTTTCTTTAACGGACAAGTTCAAACTATGAGATCCTCACTGTTAAAAGCCAGAGTAGATGCGCAAGGATTGCACAAACATGAAGTGCCCACCCCTCCTCCTACAGTCCCAGCACTATTCAAGGAATCAAATATCAAGGGAGGTTCCAGTGTAATACAAGGAGATATACTGTTTGCACAAACTCAAATATTTAAGTTAAGGAATCAAATATCAAGGTAGGTTCCAGTGTAATACAAGGAGATATACTGTTTGCACAAACTCAAATATTTAAGTAAACATCTACATTTATTAACAATTGTGTTGTGGAATCAAATGTCAAGGGAAGGTCCAGTGTAGTACTTGGAGATTTCTGTTTGCACATATTCAAAAACTTAAGGAAACATCCAAGTTTATTAACAATTGTGTTGCTCAGAACCAAAACTTAGACATCCATTTTCCTAAAGTGCCTAACCATTCTTTAGTTACATACCACCTCCTGCGCTAACATCTTTGCGAAGGAACTATTATTGTAGTCTGCTGCTTACAATGTTACTAAATTATCCTCCTATAAAAAAAATGTTACTAAACTACCCAAGCTATTGTTTTACTGGTACCAAGTCACCCTTACAATTATGAAAAAGCACACTCCATAAAGTCAAAGACCCAACTGCATTATCACTCACGTACAGTAAAAAAGCAGCAGTAAGCCACAAAATAGACTTGATCAGGACTTGGAGAAAAATGGAAAGAAAAAGATGCAACAATATTTTACACTAGTAAGGATAAAGGTTTTTCCTTTCCAAATTCCAATGCGCAGAGAGAGAGAGAGAGAGAAGAAATGTTTTAAAAAGAATTCAGACTCCATTACTAGCAAGCATCAGAAAGATTTCAAACAGTACTCAGAAATATAGACACAAGATAGGAGACAATCAAACGCACATATTGCAATGTCGACAGTAGTGCACGCAAATTTCCCTCTTTCCCTGCAGACCAGCGCTTAATCTCAATATCTAATGTGTCTGCCATTCTCTGTAATCAGTGCAAATCAGAATCAAATACATAAAACCTCATAAATTACATAAAGCAAGTTCTAAGGCAACAGCAAATGCATTCGGTGTTCCCCAACCGCTAGTGAAGATTTGCCAACACTAGTTGGCATGATAAGTAGTGCATCATGGATGACAATTAAAGGAGGCGAATGAAGATGCCATCAATCATTAACCAGAAGTAAAAGTGGCCCCGTCAATGAAGGTCAAGGAGAACTGGTGCAGTAATTGGACACACACAGAGAGTTGAAGTTTGAAGGAAAAAAGGATGGAGGACAAAGGAAGATGTATGAAGTCCCAAGGTTAACATTCTAAGAATAAAATGAAGGCATTTCTGCGAGGCATTAGTAACTTACTTCAGAAAGGAAGTAGGAATGCCAAACCACATGCTCAAATATATGTTCTGAGATGCTAAGGTACTTACATGTCTTTCTTCTTGATCCCTTTGAACTTGAAGGTCACGCTGATTCTTCTCAGCCAGCACTTTAGCCTTAGCAAACAAAGTCAGCAATCAATAATAAGAACCAAATGGCATGCTAGAGAAAAACAAATAGACTAAAAAAGTACACAGACACTGAAACCCAGATTTTGAGTTCAACTAATGCTTGTGTTAACACAAGTTAAAAAATCAAGTGGCAGAAGAAATGTACCGCACGCTCTTGAGTGCGTTGTTGGCGATCTAGTCTAGCTCTTCTTCTTTCTTCACTTTCCCCTTCTACTTCCTGGAATTCTCCAGATGATGGAGCACCTTTTGGAAGCAGATTGTCTCAGCAAGGTAAACTTAGAGAGTAAGAGGCAGAAGTACAAAAACAAATCTTCACCGTTACAAATATATATGATGACATACCTCCAAAAATTGAAGTAAGATCATCAACAATATTAGTAGTGGAAGACGCTTTCCTCATATTGGATGAGGCACCACCAGAAGAAGAAGTCCTCCTCGCCGTTTCGGTTGGTGCCCTGCCCTGGGATTGGGGATCCAACACAGGATCCTAAAAATGGAGTCAAACAAAGGCAAACACAACAATTAAATAATAACACCTTCTACATTGTGACAGAACTCAGGATATAAATGGCATATGTTGCCGCCTTTAGTACTCACCGAAGGGTTTGCCCTTGGCCTAGGTGCACTGCTTGCCCGAGATCCCATGTTAAAGAAGGATTCAAGATCATTATCATTATTTTGTTGGTTCATCCTTGCCGAAGCAGCAGCCCTCTCTCGAGCTTCTGCAGCAGCCCTTTCACGAGCTTCTGCAGCAGCCCTTTCAACAGCAACTCGTTCTGCTCTACGTCGAGCTTCAGCTTCAGCCCTAGCAACAGTAGCTTTCTCCTGTGCTTCTTTCTCCCTTGCTTCGGAATTTGCCCTTTCCCTGGCTTCTGCAGCAGCCCTTTCTGCTCTATCTCTAGCTTCTGCCGCCGCCCTTTCACGGGCTTCAGCTTGTGCTCTCTGAACTGCGGCCCTTTCAACTTTTAAACGAGCTTCAGCAGCTGCTCTATCGCGTGCCTCTGCCCCTGCTCTTTCCCTTGCTTCTCTAGTAGCCCTTTCCACAGCTTGTCTGGCCCTTTCTCTTTCAATCTCCCTTGCTCTCTCCCTCTCCCTCTCAAGTCTCCTCTGTTCTTTCTCTTCCTCTTCCTTTTCCCTTTGTCGCCGTTCAAGATCTAACCGCTCCTGGTTTTCCCTGAATTCTCTCTCTTGAGCATCTTGCATGGCCTGTTCATCTTTTTCCAACTGCACGGCTTCTTTATTTCTAGCAACCTTAACATATTCTCTATCTCTTACTTCCTTTGCATGCCTAAATTTAGCCTCAGCTTTATCCATAGCTTCTTTCATAGCAGAAGCAGAAGCAGAAGCAGAAGCAGAAGCAGCAGCAGCAGCTGCAGAGTTTACGTTCATTTCCTCACCAGATTTAACATCAGCATTGCCTTCGACACTATTTCGGGTCCCACCCATGGCAAAATCATCAAGTTCATCGATTGAAGAAACCACAGAGCTCTTCACCGCAGGCCTGAAGGTTTTAGGACTTTGAGAGTAATGAGCGTAATTTGCAGAAGGAGAAAACTCGTCTCCCTTCTTTCTAGCATTTGAAGAAAATAGACCTGTTACTGGCTTTGAACCCCACTTTGGTATTGGAGGAGGGGGCCTTGAAGGTGGTGGAGCACTTGTGGGTTGTGTAAAAAGAGGTATCTCTGATACAGTGAGCCATACATCATCAGATGATCGCACTTGTTCTTCTGATCTCGGAGAAATATCTACCTGGGAGTGTGTCTCAGTAAAGTCAACATTTCCATTTGGAGGGAAAGAAGCAGTTTGAATAAAAGATTTCAGAGAATCTGCTGAAAAGGTTGGCAAGTCGAAGTGTGTTTGAGGAGATTCCTGAAAATTATCAACAGGAACCTTCTCTTGGGAATGGCTCTCAGAATATCTAAAGGAAGATTTCCCAAAATGTTCTTTACTCGAAGAAGTTTGATTCTCACTCATGGTTGCCGCTGTCCTTGAAGGACTCCCATCCTTCTCCCTGATATTCCTCTCAGGAGAAAATGCAGGCACAGACTTGCCAAAACCATTAAGGGGGTCTATATCATCAAATACTGCTCCACTAACAGATGAATGATCAGTCTTTGTGTTTCCAGATTTACCCATCTTACCAATCTCTTCCAGTGGATCAGTGAACAGCCCTGTGGATGAAGCCGCAGGAGATTCTAAAACTACAAAGGGGTCATCCAACACATTAGAAGTTGTTTGATTGGTATTGCCAGTTGACCTCTGGTGCGGACTTGATTCTGAAATTGGCCTGGGCAAAAAGAAACATGGAGCAAAAAAGTATCAACTAATATGTATATAGCAGAGTTTTAGAAAACCCTCAAGCATGGTCGTGCACGAGATCCAGATATGAACAAAAATGCATATAAAAAAAATCCAGGCATGCCACATGCATTTAAATAAATGCGTTATATGATATTGTAGCCTCATCTACTCTACCCTACCTCCATAGTTCCAAGAAAAATACCAAATGTAGATGCTACTTCAGAGACATCCAGAAGAATGTAAACATCACCTGACGCAATAGTCCAAGCATGTGTAAAAGTCCACAGGACAATGACTCCTTATAGCCATTAAGAATTCTTAATTTCAGCAAGGACTTCCTATAGCCATAAAAACTCTTATTCGGGCAAGCAAATAATTTATATGAGGGGGATGCTTGGAAACAGCAGCCCAACAGAAGCACAGGGACAAATCTTGCTTAAGAGATAAGGGAAAAGAGAATCTAAAAGATAATTTCCTCCAACTCGACCTGCAAGTTTACAAAACCTTTTCAAAAATTATCCTTCCCAAGTGAAAATAGGGAAATGACAATCATGGATACCTGCAAATCGTAAACCTTCCATGAAAATTGTGTTTACTTGGAGAAGAGTTTCTTTTTCTATTCCATCGTAAACCTTCGAAACTGTGAATTATGACCAAAACTTACCAGCACCATCACAGTTATTATACATCATCTCCAAGGGGAAGAGGGAAAAACAAAAGATAACATCAAAATGGACTTTCAAAGTCACACTAACATGCAAACATTTTTTTGTCCCTGATAACTGTAAAAGAACTTTTCCAAATTTCCAATTGTCACAATTTAATGCCAGAAAAAAATGAATTCCAAAACAAAACAGATGCACCTGCTTCTGCCATTACAATATTTTGCCTGTCAGCATATGGATATTTGTTATGTCGATCTTAGGTACAATCAGTCACAGTAAACAAAGACATTAATTAAGAAAATCGGATGAGGCTAGTATCCTTGAGCTATCCATCAGCTTGGGGTGTTTCATCTCAGTTTCAAATTTCAATGGTTTGTTCATTCATCATCTGCTGTTGAACCTATACTTTGAAGAGCTCCAATCATGCTAAGATCCCCTGCTTTCTCCATTCTTGCCTTTCTTAACTAATATTCACTCATAATAATCAACCATGTTCATCATTCCTTCCTGCAATACAAACCCCCGTGCATCTGTGTATGTAAATTTACAGCTTACTGTCTAAATGCTTTGATCTCTGCATAGAATGTTGCTGTCCCTTTTTTCACCTTTAATAAACAGAAATACTTGGACATCCGATAGGACGATAATCAATTGACTCAATTGCATTTTGTATTGGAATTATTAGGAGTTGATCCCATACAAATATTACTTTCAAGGGCATGGCTGTTTTCCTTATTACCATTTGCATTAATCACACAAAGATTTGATATATAGTTATATCAATATTCTTATGATAATCAATTGACTCAATTGCATTTTGTATTGGAATTATTAGGAGTTGATCCCATACAAATATTACTTTCAAGGGCATGGCTGTTTTCCTTATTACCATTTGCATTAATCACACAAAGATTTGATATATAGTTATATCAATATTCTTATGATAGACCAAGACTTGAACTTCATTGGAATTCAATTATATGGTTCGTATTAGACACTGAAGAGGACAAAAAGTGAAGAGAATTTGGTTTTGTGGGGGGAGAAACATGAAAAGAAATAATGTCTACCAGTGGGGTTTTGGGGTGAGTAATATGTTCATAGTGTTTGTGTCCACAATACCCATTTGTGCCCAAATTCAATTGAATGCTCAAAGGAGGCCCTTCCCTATAGCTTCTAGATCTGATCTTAGCATAGGTTGCATTTCTTCACTTCAAATTCAGTAGTATATGTTCATTTTTCTAAATTGCTTAACTGCCAATTTGCGCTCTCTCTCTCTCTCTCTCTGTGTGTTCTATATCTTCCGATTGTATTTTGGTGTTATTTCCTTTTCTTTGGTTCTTGCAATTTTGGGTGGATTTCTTATCCACATCTTTCTACTTTATTTTATTGTCAATGAAAACATTCATTTCCAATCAATCTCATATGATAACTGCCCTACTTTTTCCAAATAAGTTTTGATAGCAGATTTACCCACTGTACTCGGTCATCAGTAAAGTTCCATCCATAACATGCCAAGCTTTTCTTCTAATAAAAATGCAAACTGATTGCTAAACTCCAGAATTTTAAAGTTGATGAATGTGGCAATATCTTTTTAACATGTACTAACACAACACTGGAAGTTTCTGCAAATTTTTTTTTTTTCGGTAAGTAAGTTTCTGCAAATTTTTAGTGCTGATGATTCCTCAAACACCCATACGAAATCAATCTTCCCAGTCAGAAGAAAAACCTCATCAGAACCACATCAAATATGACAATTAAAATCTGCAACCCTACAAATAAGGGTAAGATGACACAAAGAATCATGCTTTCAACTGCATCACATAAAACTTTTGGTGCTGTTGTTCTCACTATGCTCAATTAGTATGTTATACTTTTCATTGAACCGAAGTTTTGGGTCACCTCATATCCCAATATGCTGCATAAGATTGAATAATGAAATTTGACAAGGATGCCCCAGTGCTAAATTCAGAAACTTGAAATCAAAGCAAACAGAAAATATGAAACTAAGGATAATCAGTGCACTATCATACTTAAATAACATCTTATATGTAACAACAATTGACCCCATGAATAACATCAGATATGTAGATAAAATGGATTTCATAAATTTGTAGAATGTCACGGTATTTAGTCAAAATTCTCAAAGACAAAACCCTAAAACATATATCTAATCAACTTTAATTACAGATGTGGATCATACTGCAATATGAAGAAATGCTCGACGGGTATTTCACTTGTTGTAACATGCACAATTTCCACTAATTTAAATGCTGAGGTAGTATCCAGTACAGAAATTCACACTTTGATAATCTTCCATTTGCATATTCATGTTCCAAGGTTTCTCAATACCATGCAACATATTTAGCTTTGTGTGTGAGTGGAATGTGTGTCTGGAAGTTGGACGGGAGGTGGTGGGCCCCTATTCGACAACGGCACCAGACACTACTATGCCGACGCGACAGTGGCTCCATGCCCTTAACAAAGGGCTTGCGAGACAAACTAAACTCACTTTGTTATCAATAAGACAAGACAAAAGCAACTCCTTCCTTGTTAGAGTCCGTGCCCCATTTAGATGGGTCACTTCACTCACTCACTTAAGAGATAGTTAACAAAGTCATAGTAAAGCTATAACAAGATAAATTATTGGGTCATTCAATCACAAACTAATATGCTCTCTCCCCAAATTGTTTGTGAATTACGACACAGTTGATTCCTAAATCTCTGAATACAGTATATATAAGAAATATTAATGAAAATTTAAATCAAATCAAGTATCAACTAAACCGCATATAATTTCCTAAACACCAATATAAGCCAAATTGAACAATGAGCACCTTACAAAATGTCAGCACAATTTAACCTACTTGAGCATTATAAGCAGTTAAATTGAAGCATCCAAAAACATATATAATACCTGTTATTGTTTCTTGCTGGACCGCCACTACCAAATCCAGGCAACAAATCATCCAGACCACTCGAACTCTTAACCTCCCTCAACTCCAACGTCTCGGTCCTTCCCAAATGCCCGTCTAAGTCACCAAACTGATCGCTCTGCTTCGGCGGCGAAGCCATCGACGCAAATACGTTTTCATCGTACCCAACGGAAACCGACGTCGTTTTGCTCTTCAGTCCAGGCAATCCATCGAATATATCGTCATCATACAACGGCTTATCATAAACTGGCACCGACGAAGCCGATTTAGTTGTCGATTCATTCGCCCTCGAGCTCTTGAATATCGAATCGTAATCAAAATCAGAGAGTGACGAAGCCTTTTCCATGTTGCTGTTTGCGTAATTGGGGGGTCCACCGAACACGTCGTTGAATAGTGGATCGCTGTGATTGTTGTTGTTGATGAACGGCGATGATGATCGGCCGGTGGATCGTGGGGGAGGACCGTCGGATCGGAAACTGGATGATTTCATAGGGTTGGATTTGCCTTGGGGTTTAAACCCAAAGTCTCTGGCTAACAAATTAAGGTCATCCATTAAATACAAAACTAGGTTTGAATTTCTTTTTGGCAGATCTGAGAGAAATTACCCAGTTACAGTAGGGCAATTACGGTTGGGTGGATCTGAAAATTGGAGATAATCAAGAGGAACAAAAAGGTCAAAATTCAAAGTGATGAAATGAAGACGACGTAAAAGAAGGTGGAAGGTGGAAGGTGGAAGGTGGAAGGTGGATTTATAAAGTGAATAATCATATACAATGATGGGTATATATGATACAGCTATGTATATGTCTGTTTGTATATATGTATGAATGTGTATTGGTTTACAAGAAAATGGAGAAAGGAGACGAATCTTTGATAAGGGTTTTGAAATGATCGTTGCAGACTGGTTCTTTTCCCTTTCTTGCTTTCTTATTTCCTGCTTCGTCTTCCTCTTCTCTCTCTCTCTCTCTCTCTCTCTCGCTCGCTCTCGGCTCTCCATTGTTCCTTTAATTGATTTCGAATTTTTTCCGATGAAACCCCTATTGTTTGCAATTTTTCAGAGTGGCCTCAGTACTTTGGAGAAATTTTATTTATGCCACTGTATGTGTACGCTCGGGTTAACCATGCGAATAGCACAGTCAATAGTATTGGATTTAGGTATTCTTTATACTTTTTCTCTTTGTCTTTTAATGGTAAATCACCTAAATGTACAATAATGCACAGCACTAAATTTTTTTTTTTTTTTTGGCACCTCGATAAATCCGCTTCACTTTGATCAAAGGCATCTCTGATGGTATAAATCCAAAGGATTTATAAAATTTTGAATTCAAAATGTCTGAGTTTACGATTTATTTCTGTCTTCATTAAAAAACATTTGAGGTTAGTGGAGAACTTATTCGTGGTGGATCAGCTTGAATGATAAAAAATGATTTATCAATAATGTCCTTTGAATTATTCTTGAATGTACACTTTTATAATGTTGGGAGATTTGTAAATTGAGTGATTTAAAGCTCAATATACGTATCTAGAATTTAAACTCACCTAAAAATTTATGTATACGAGTTAGTGTACACGTGCGTTACATATGGATAATATTATTGTAAAATTATTTTTTATTTTAAAATCAATAGACATAATTGTAAATAAGGTTTATATTTGAAAACTTTGTAAGAATACCACCTTCCAGAGAAGATTCTTCTTAGGATGACAAGTCTGCTGCCATGAGATGAAAAAAAATTATAAGCTCTCAAATAATCAATGTTGTGCCTTCTTGTAGAGTGATACATCCTAGGAAGCTTGATATAATATATAATAGTTTTTGTTTGCTTCACCTAATTCAATATTTCATTGGAGCTTTGCTGCAAAACTCAAAGAATATGTTTGTAAGAGTGTTCAGAGACCATTCCGATAGTTTTTTACCGGTGAAATCACGAGGTCCCTGACCGCGCCTATTACACCGTAACTAAGTTATTTAGAATTAGTCGAGAGAGTTGAATATCACTTACTGTTTCCTCAGTTTCGTAAGTCATTGTTAAAAGCTTTGATGTGGCTTTATATGCAATCAACACATATTGCACTAATGAGAAGATTCATTGTTGCTCTCAGTGTCCTGTTGCTTAAAATTTGGCACAATGAACTGTCACTGATAGATGAGCAAATATGTGGTGCAGCTTATTTGACTATCTTTTAATTGTGTGCTAATAATAGAATTCCCAGAGTTAAACATAAGATAGAAGCAATCTAGATATTCATGCCAATGCATGATCCCCAACAAGTAGCATAACGCAAATTAATCTGCTAGATTAATCCTTTTTGATCTGAACTTGGACAGTCATTTTGGCCTAAATCAATTACTGTAGCTGTAAGGTCACAAAACTAAATTTGTTGTTACAACATTGTACCATCTAGAACTAAAATGAGATACATAATTATGGATTAGGGTAATTAATTAGGATAATTAATCTAGCACTAATATGACTTTATATAAATGTTTGAGAATAGTGATAGCAAAAAACATATATTTTTGGTTTAGTAGCCTTTTAGGAATAGTATAGATATAGATAGAGGGTGAACACATCAACAGTATATTAAAAGTGCAATTCGGACGGTTTAGAGGATCAACTCAACTGAAGTTACAAAACTTTCAACGTAACCCAACCCAAACCCAACTTTCAACCCGAGATACTCAACCCGAGTATTATCCAAGTTAATTTCGAGCTCAATTTAGGTTGGTTTGAATTAACTAATTCGGAGTTAAATCATGCCCATAATTAGGGTAGAATTCAAGTTTGTAATTCGGGTTCAATTTTGAGCTCGTTTGTTGGCATGATACAGTAACTTGAATAATTTAAATTTAAAATAAATTACCCCAAATTCAATTCGAGTTAAGAATTTTGAGCCCAAGCCTAATCCAAATTTTAAAAACTTCAACCCAAGTCTTATTTTTTTGAGTTGGGTTCGGGTTAATCTGCCCAAAATACACCTTATAGTATATTAAGACATTTTAACTTATATTTTTAGAAGAATTACATCCAGACTTGTTGAGGTTTGTTACCCATCCAAAATTCATGTTTTATTATATCATTTATTGAAATAAAATAAAAATCTAGTTTTTTAAATAAAAAAAATCATAGTTAATATATAATTATACTATCTATTAGAATAAAACTAAAAAATTAAATAAGTGGTCAAATTATAATGAATACAATATCTTTTAGCTTTAATTGAGGTAGTTTGATAAACGACCAAATTAAATTCCAATAGACAATATACTTATATACTAATTACGACTTTTTAAGAAAAAAATTGAATTTTTATTTTTGATTTTATTTCAATAAATAATACAACAGAACATGAATTTTAATTGAAAAAAAATTTAAAATATTTGAAATCTTGTCTTTGATTGAAGTATTTTTTATCTAAGTATAATATTTTAAACTTAAGGGGCTAAGTAATATATGCTTACAAACTTCAGAGGGTCTGGGGTATAATTTATTGACGTATATATTTATAACAGATATTTTGCGTGTATAAATTTCAGAGGATCTTTATATAATATGTTAAATATCAGGAGTTCTGAATGATTAAATGAGAAACTTCAACAAACTGAATGTAATTTTTCCTATTTTTTATAAAATATAAAATTCTCACACATATAATACCTAACGCATGACTTCACTTTCATAACTCTTTCACCTTCATAACTCTTCCCATGGGAGATCTCCAAATGGAGACACTAGTGGAACCGGAAACCCCTCCCCCTCAACTGGGAGGGCTTCTGAATTCTGATCTACGTAGTACCTCCTTCACTAGGAGATCTTTGTAGTTCCTTTGTTTTGTTAAACTTTCCATGTACCAAAAAAATAATAATTCTTCACCTTCTGCTTTCACATCTTTCTTTCCCTTCTTTCTATAATTAGTACTACACTAACTAAATGGATTGGGAGGAGAGAGAGAGAGAGAGAGAGAGAGAGCATACAAAAGAAGTTATCATAAACAGAAACAATGGAAAACATAAAGTCAATTACAAAAAAAAAAAAACATGTTATTTTCTCATCCACAACCTCAACTCTAAAATAACAGCGACAATAAACAAGACGACAAGAGCAACGGCATAACCAGCATTCCATCCACTTCCTGCATTGCCTAAATGTATTCCGTAGAAAACATTAACCGCAGCCAAGAATATCAAAATCCTTCCCGTTGAATAATGGTACCAATTCCAGTATTTTCTTACTTTTGATTCCTTTTCCGGTCTTGCCAAAAACGCCATAACCTGTGTGTAACATAAACAACAATGCTTAGATTTACTTACCCCCCCCTCCCCAAAAAAAAAAGAATACTAGTAGTAAGCTTTATCCCCGAAATGAACTGAAATTTAGTCCTCCATTTCGCGTTATGGGTGTCGATCTAAACACAACATAGTTAATAAATAGACATGGGTTTACCTAGGACTTGTTACATACTTATCACGGATATAATGCCGAACACTGACTTGATAATAGAAAGACAAATGGACAAACCTGGAGGCATCCAAGAATGAGAATGAAGATCCCAAGCCCTTTGTGCTTATTAACGTTGCTTTGGAGACGATCATTCAAGACGAATCCACAGATGATACCTGCAACTCCGAGGATGAATCCAAATGATTGGAAGAGAGTATGAGAATAGAACCAGATTGGATCCCATTGCTTCAGGTATCGAGCAGCCATGGCTCCCATTGCCAATAAAATACCCCAACCTAACATGTTCAGTATCCCATGGGTCCTCTTCAGACTTGCATAGGGGCTTTGCTGTTGGCTTTGACCTGTCATATATACAACAAAACACAATTCAAAACAAGTGGATAATGTTAGCAAAATAACTTAAATAGATTAGAAGACTTTGATCGTGTATTCACTCTCCTTAAGGAAATTATGTCGTCCACTATATTGCTGTTAGATTTATGGCAAATTCTTTCTAGGATTAACAAAACCAAACAGAATTTTAAATAACAAACTCTAAAATTCTCCCAAAAATAGAATAGAGAAACGATTTTTGTATATATCTGTATTGAAGGATCTGTATAGATATTTATAATACCTTAGAGATGCAAGGGGAGACACAATAATTAATCATTTATAAAGTTCAAGCCCAAGATGCCCAAAGTGCTCAAGTGCCCATCTTTTGACTTTAAATATTATTTTATTTAAAACCTAAACAAGATCCATTGATTTGAAATATTTGAAGCTTCCCTCCAAATTTTTTCACTATCCAAATTTATAAAATTTAGTGTGTTTCCTTTTAAACTCTTACACTCCTTTTCAACTTTTCCAATGTGAGATACCTTACATTACTAACTATTTTTAACAGATAAACTAGATAAAAGTTGACACGACAATGTAAGAATAAAAATTCATTCTCATTATCATAAAATGCATAATTTTGTTAGAATAGAATTAGTAGTTCTTTAATTTCTAGTAATATTACCTATTATCAATCAACACCGTTTATCGCCACCATCACCCTCAACAACCACCATCATCACAATCCTACCTCCACCCGGGTTTAGGATCTGGGATCGGGTTTGTGATTTGAGATTCTAAAAATAGTTATATTATTTTTTAAAAAACGAAGATTTCACACTTAGGTCTTGCTTTCACATGGGTGATACATATTGTTCATGCAAAATTTTATTATTTAAGCATTTGATTATGGTGTTTCATCTTTTCAAGTTAATGATACTTAGCATTTCAATCAAATTTAATAAAAATGTTGATTTATTCAATTATTGTAATGAATTATTAATTTCCTTCAAGAATTTAATCATAGGGATGCAATTCAGGCGGGTTGAGAGGTCAACCCTAGCCCAACTCTAGATATATAATCTTCAACTCTAATCCTAACTTGACCCCAACCCGAGATACTTAGCCTGAGTATTGCACGAGTTTAATTCGGACGGACTCAAGTTGAATTCGAGTTATTTAATTCGAGCTAATTTCGAATTACAAATTGGGTTGATGTCGGGTTAGTTAATTCAGGTTAATAAAAGATAGAGTAGTGAGGAGTGAGAGAGGAAGGTTGAGAGTCTGAGACGACTCAAACGAGTAACGATTGAGAAAGAGAAGAGTGAGGAGTGAGAGAGGGAGGCTGAGAGTCTAAAACGAGTCTCAGACGAGTGAGACAGGGAGTTTGAGACCACATAAGAGACGAGTGATGAGTGAGAGAGAGATCTGAAAGTGATGGAGACAGAAGGGTGAAGGCTTAAAGTGAAATGAAAGTCTGAACTATAAAGAGTGAAAATAAATATTAATCCTAATTAAATATATTTATATATTTATGTATATTCGAGTTTAACCCAATTAATTAATCGGATTCAACCCGATTCTAATATTCGGGTTGAACTCGATAACTCAAGACCTCAAATCGAAGTTTGTTCAAATTTAATTTGGGTTGAAGTTTTTTTGCCTAATCCTAATTCAAGTATTAAAAATTTTAACTCAAACCCTATTTTTTTTGGGTTGAATTCGGGATGACCCGCTCAAATTACACCCCTATTTAATCATAATTGTTATTAGACATGGGAATGATGAGGTGCATTCCATTCCATTTCTCAAATTTATGGCACTCGTAAAAACATACCACCTCCAAAAACAAAGTCAATATTCAAATAACGGAGGAAAAAAGGTTTTTGGACATAATCCCAAGGATAGTCCAAGTCCTAATATAGACGAACTATAAATTTAGATATTTTAAATTTAAATCTTAACAATCTTTTAGGGTCATATATCATAATAGATTTATTCGTCATAATATTTTAGTCTTGACGTATAGATTAAATTAAAAAAGAAATTAGTTGAGATGCATTTTAAACAAAAGAAAAAAAAAAGTATTTGGACATAGGTATGTTATCCACATCTTCGTAGGTGGCTCAGTGGAATACACCGCATTCTCACCTAATCTCCTGACCATGTAATAAAGTTCTATTAAATCATATTTCTATTAAAATACAGTACAGCTAGATTCATCATAAATTTCAATATATTATTTTGAAATACAACCTAATTTAAATTAAGGCTATTTAATACTATGCTGATACTTGAGACGAAATTTATTCAAGCTCGATTCATTTAAAAAATAAATCAAATCAAGTTAAATTCGAATATTTCGGTTCAATTATTTATCCTATTTAATACATCGAGATCTTTAATACATCAAGAGCGCGAAAGCAATGAATGGATGGTTTCCTTATTCGAACTCTATTTAATATTGTGTTTAATTATTAATTATTTATATATATATGTTTAAAGAGATTGGATTAGGTAACCAGCAACCAACAAACAAACCGCTCTCAAAAGTCCAATAAAGAAGAATTTTCTTTTTTTTTAATAATAAAAATATTTGAATTAATTTACACATGTCTGAATTAATCTCCGTTCAATACAAAAAAACCAGAGCTATCACTGACCTCACCAACCTGGCTCAACTTGTTGTGGTGGGGCCAGTTTTCCACTAACCCGTCCAATTATGATTTATGTTCGAAGTAAAAAAAAAAAAAGTCAATTTGCATACGAAGAGAAAGGACTAAAAGTTTTTTTTTTTTTGACATTTTTACCAAAAAAATTGATCCTTTGAGTTTCTTGTACTCACCTGTGGCATAATTTATACTAGTGGATATCTCTTGACTGTGTTGCGTCAATCGAAAGCCTGGCGGCGACGGCAGAATTCCGGTCGGTCCAACGGCGTATATCAGCCGTGTCTCCGGCTGGCTGGTGTTCAACTGGAAGGCCATGTATATAGTTGATGATGCAGTAATGATCGAAGATGAATTGCCGGCAAACTGTAGTTTTGTTTGATCAGGAACCACAAGATTTGTTGATTGACCACCTAGATAATACCTTTTCATCATAGCAACGCCGTTATCCGCCGCCCATCCCACGACGGCGCTCGAGCCGACCATGTTGCCGTCCGGCGAAAACCCCATTGCTACGTATGAATTTGTGTTGGGTGCTGAGACAACAAAGCTCCACACAGTTGGTGCTGTTTGGGAATACTGAAATTTTTTTACCCAGATCAATATAGAGCATCATCAGTATAAAAATTGGGTTAGATACTTCAATCACATCTGTATATGTGAATAATGATCACAGCTTAGAGAGATTAAGATATATATATGTGTGTGTGTGTGTGTGTGTGTGATGGACTTACTCTGAGGATGTAACCTTGAGCACCCCATACTGCTCGGCAATGGAAAGAGGTTGGATCAAAGGGAAGTTGACCTATGAGATTGGGATTAAGAGTAGAGGTGCATGAATCTGATTGTGAATTCACATTCAAAGGTAACCCAAATAGGAGGAAGGAGAAGGCAAGGGACATGAGAGATGCCTTCATCTCTCTCTCTCTCTCTCTCTCTGGGTTTGGAATGGGCAAAGGTGGGCAAAGGTGGGTAATTATCTCCATTAAAGTTAGAAGGAAGTTAGTTGACCCAGCTAGTCTATTGTTTAAGGATTATGTTAAAGAAAACTAACTAACATGACCCTTCAGAACAAAATTAAAAAATTGATTTAATTATTTATTTGACCCTTTGAATTATATTATTTATGGCAATCAAGACTTTGAACTATGTTTTATATCAATTTAACCCCTCAATTATACTATTTGTGTTAAAGTGCCCCTACAGTTCAAATTTACAGTTAACTTTGATAGAACTCCTCACGTGCGCATCACAAAAGTCGGGAATTAGAATTGTGCATGTGAAGAATTCCATCAAATTTAACGGCTTATTTGGACGGAAGGGCAACATTAACACAAATGTTACAATTCAAAAGATAAATTGATACAAAACATAATTTAAGGGATTAATTGACGCAACGGATATAATTCTATTTCTATGTTCAAATAGATAGTGGACTCCACCAATATTTATGGGGGTGTTGATGCCAATACAATATGGGTGACTACCAGTGTAATGTAGCTGGCACAGGGATGATTGAATTAGTCTATTTTACTGAATCCAAGCGAGTAGGTAATGCGTATGCAATTAAGTATTTTTATACTATACAAATTATCCCCAAAAACTAATTTTTGAACTCGTGATTACAATAAAATGCCAAGATACAAATAATTACTAATAAATCATGCATAATGTATAAATTATTTTTTTTTAATGAAAGTTGAACTTAGAACGTTCAGACAGCAATATCCAACCTCTCAATGTTTGAATTACCTCACAAATTATCTCACTTAATAGTGTAATGTTAAAATTATAAATAAAAATTAAATTAAAAAGATATAAAATAAGAGAGAAATATGTGTGGATAAATAGAGTTGTTTAGTATTAAGGAGAGTGTTAGTTGAGTTGTCTGATATTAGAAACCGTGTATAAAAAAGTATTTTTGATTGGAAAAAAAAAATTTGGGATGAATTTTATACTATTGGATCAAAATAAATAAAAATTATATTAATTTTAATCGTTATTGTACTTTTATAAAATTAAGAATTCAATTTATTAACTATAATACTAGATAGATTTTTTGAGTCACCATTTGCTTCTTTTGTCTCTATATTATTTTTAATTATTTGTCTCTTTATTATTATTAATATTTTTTCTTTATTGGTGGTATTACGAGGGATTTACACCTCATGATAACCCCCTACTCTTGGTGTTTATAATCTGTCTTTAATTGGATCGGGAAGAGAATTAATTGAAGTGCACAAAAATTAGTCTAAATATTTCTGACCGATGAACCAAAAAAATAAATACCGATGACTATTAGGATGTCGCATAAAGCGAGGGATGATGTCAAAAGTTAGATTGTTGTTGGTATCAATCACTAATTACAAACAAAAAAGAAAAATAGTTCATGTATAATTGTAGGCAATTCATTTAGGTTGAGGAATCAAGAAAGCTTCAAACTAGCAAGCAATGCCAGCTTTTGAAAGATTATGATTTGAAAAATCTTTCCGGCCAGTTCTTCAAGTTTTGGAATTCCATTGTTAATGAATCTAGCCAAAAAGACCTACACCTACTACCCTTTATTAAACCTTCCTCTTTCTTTAATAATAAAGTAAGAAAAATGTTAATTAATCTCAATTTATGGATCTAATCTGGAGATCCAATCTGAGAATTTAATGATGTGATTTTAATACAACAACTGAATTAGTTGTAAGCTCCAATGTTAGATAGAACTCACAACCAATTCAATGATTGTATATTATTAGGTCTTTCGATTAAGTCCTCAAATAAGGTCCCTATTACATTTGAGTTTCAATTTTCAAGCCTTTTGATATGAGGTCTCTCAACAATGAAATTTTTTTTAACAGGGTAGAAATAAACAAAAATAAAATCAACTTGAAAAAATAACTAAAAATATAAAATAAAATAAGAGTTTGCCAAAGAAACTTTGGTGACATTGCAATAAATTATGATGTATCAACACATACTCGTTCTGTCATAAAGGCTTAACTATACATGATATACCTGTCTTTTAATGGACAAAATACCCAATATGACGGTAATAGCATATCACCAACACGTGGTATCACCCACCAATTATTTGAAAATTAATATAATTTTTATGAGATCCAAAGGTGTTATTACATCAACTCTTTCATGGTTTTTTGACTAAAATTACAAAAAAAAAAAAAAAACAAACAAATACATGTGCATAATATCACTTTTTTCACAGGCAATTCCATTCAACTGCATGGCACTTTTTTGTTTGGGTGGTGGGGTTTGTATAGCCTTTCACTGAATAATCAAACCTTGAATTGACTTCTTTCCTTCCATCAATTACAAAGACAAGAATCTGTCCTACATTACAATAAGCATTCACATACTACATCACTATTCCTAGAATTAGACAAGCAAACCCCAAGAGGAAAGGAAGGTATATAAAGAAATGAAACAGGACTCTCTTGCATTAAACAAATTTGAAACCAAAAGAACTAAGTATAAATTACAACTAGTGAAAAATCAAATGGACTTCATTAGCAGCCAGTTTATTCTACTTGCGAATGGTAATCTAAGTTCCCAACTAATGGGGAATAATCACAAGCATGATTAGCAAGCCTGGGTCATGGGAAATCAGGATCATGATTTCTTTTGCAAGGACGGCCGACCAAGGACGGAGATGGCAAGCTCTTCATTCAGCTTCACAGGAAGTGGTGGCATTTGCTTCATTATCTCTGGCAAGTCGTTCAAGCTGAAAAATATAGTAACGCATAAGCATCAGTGACACAGACTCTTTGATACCCAATATAATCATTAAACCTTTCTGATGCAAAGCTCATATTAGCCTCAATAATGGGGCTTAGAAGGCTAAATTTGTGGTCAATGTCAAGAGTGGATCTTCCACTGTGATCAAATGGGCTGAATTTTCACTTAAATGGCACACAGATGCATCTCCACCTCATGCATTGAAATCTAAATATGATTTCAGATTTGTTTGCCAGAGTTGAAAGAAGTGGCAAACAATATACATATGTCTTGTATACAGGGCTCAAAGAACATTTAATAATTTCCAGAGCACCGATTTTCAAGAATAAACAAGCAATCTTCCCTTCTTTTGAAAAGATAAACATGCAATCATGCAGTTGCCAACAAGCATGTGGGAGAAAAGAATATGATAACCAATCTAATCTTAAAGACATAAAGACTGAATTCCGTGCAAGAAAAACCAAAAGAAATGTGTCTAACAAGGACAGAATATATTTAAGCGTGCAGTGTTTCTGCATACTCATTCATGATGGCGAGAATGTTATTCCGAGCTTGGCAAAGGAGATTGATGTTCTCATGTATCTGCAAGACCGCATAATAAGACAAAAAGTTACTACTAGTAATAATGGCTTTGTTTGTGATGCAGCAATGGTCTATCAAAGAGGTCAATCAATCATGAGGCCACAACCATTCAATAAATGTGATTGGCTCACATAAGTACCACAACGTGAAGCAGGAAGAGCAGTACACACAATTTTCAGACCTACATCTAGATGGACACCAAGAGATTTCTGATGCCAACATGACAAAGTGAATTCTTTGTAATACATACATTAAGGTTTCATTAGAAATTACAAAGTTCTACAAGAACAACGATCTCATCCCACTTGTTTTAAGTGTCTTAATGATTCCTGGGTCCTGAGCTGATAGACCATCAACTAATTGCGACATAGATATGCATGCAATGACATCGGGTATATACAATTTCCAGACCCCTAATACTTCAAAAATCCCTGCCTGAAGCGAACTGGTAGGAATTTGGATTAAAGAAGAAAAAGGAGGCAATTACCCAGTTCGATCCCCGTTACTGAAAAGTGCTGGAAAGTAGGTCTGGCAATCGTATCGAGTGGAACGATTTCGTGTCGGGTGGAACAAGTTTGTGTTAAAAAACCCTTCATCCATACCCCATTCGTTTATATAAACGAGTCCAACTATCACACCAATACATGAATCATTTATTAGATGGGTTATCCGATACAACCCGTGTGTCACCCGTTAAATAAGAGAATAGGTTATAATATTTCAAGTACACACGAAAAATCATCAACTTGTTACACATTACACATGTTTGACTTGTTTACTATAACAATAAATCATGGCTGAGCAAAAAAATAAAGACAAAAAATAAACATTAAATAATTACTAAATTTGAATGAGTCTAAGAAATGGGAGGTGTGAGATGAGGCAAAGGCTGAGAGACCTAATTTTTTTAAAAAAAAATTATAGTATAACTGTTAACAGGTTAAACAGTTGAAACGAGTTTATGGGCTAAACACGAAACCGGTTCATTTATTTCATGGGTCTGCCGAGTTAACCCGTTAATCACTCGAACCTGTTAGACTACACCCAAATCCGTTAAATCTGTGTTGAATTCGTGTCAATTTTGCGAGTCGTGTATTGAATTGTTAGGCCTACTGGAAGGGGGACTGGATACAAAGACATCAATCTAAATATCTAATCACCAGCGCGAAAGTAGCATGGGCTCCTTGAAATCCAAAAACCCTCATTATAGACAAATACCAAAATGAAGTAAAGAATTAGTTAGATGTTCTGAAAAGAATAATTTATTGCTGTCAAATCCTACATAAAACAAACTATGCAGATGTTGTATCTAGAAAATGACCAAGTGCTCAAACTTGAAAATACAAAGCTACATGAGAATCCCTCGTCTTGACATAATGCACTGAATGTTTTATGGTACTCAGTATCTACAGGAAGCAAGATGCATAATACACCCCTCTCAGATTCTCATTAACAGGGTCTATACAGGGTATTTCTTTTAAAGCAAGATGCACAGAAACCAGACTCGTCAAATAACAGCTAACAAAATCATTCACAACCCACTGTCGCTGAAATTAATTGAAAGAGATTATGGCCATTCTGATTTTTATCTCTGATTCCTAAACAAAACCGCATACTTTCCCACTTTTTAAACTGCACATACTTTACCTTAAAAGCGGAAAAATTTGCAGAAATTTGATCCAGCGCCTGAGCATTTTCCTCAAGAAGCTGGCCGGTAGCACCACCAATTGCTGCAAAGGACAAATGTAAGTTATCATACAATAGTTATCATAGACAGAGAAAAGAAAGAACAGTATGTACCATATCCCCCATACTAATAATAGTAATGACACAAGAAGCACATTTTTGAGTGTCAGATATTGGCACAAAGACTGTTTCAAAGTCTAGGATTAAGTTCTGAAACTGCATGCTGCTTGTTGCATGAGAGCTACAACCTGGGCAGGATCTATAGGATATTCATTTGAAGCACATCCTGAATCAATATAATTCGTTGGCACTGTTGGTTCTACCAAAAGGTTAAAATTAAAAGAAATTGAAGCATGCAAGTAATAATAAAGACCATGAACAAATGGCCTTCAATACCATGCATTTATTGGGTAACATACGGCAACATCGTAATTGAAAAAGCATCAAACAGTTTATGTGTACTATGGAGAGGACAACCAACCTGCAATCTTGTCCTTTCACAAGAAAAGATGGAAAGAAAAATTGTGAATATCCAATGCAATTCTGATCTTTCAATCAGTAGGATAAAACATTTCCTCAAACATTATTCTGCATACGACTATAAAAGAGGCTGTCGGCTGTCCTGTATAAGTTATTAATTTTTTTTCCCCAGGGGGCAGGGGAAGCTAGGAAGGGGATGAGGTTGAAACCCACAACCACCCATGGACAGGAGTGAGCTCTTATCACCAGGTCACTCCCTCATAAGTGAAAATGATAGATGGTTCGAGTATCTTTCAACTTAAAATGACAATGTTTCTACTTATTTTACATGGCAGTTTTGTATATATGTTGTGTCACTTCACGGACAAGGAGGCAAGGCGCATGAATCAAATAACCGATGTCACTTTTAACTGCTAAACACAAAATCCTTTTCCAACTTTGAATATCCAGATATAATTGACCTCTTTTTTTTTTTTAATTCGCCAAGTAAAAATGGCTAGGAGGAGGCACTTAGTCATGCGCTTCCCTTCTAGGACATGACAAAATAGCCCCTATCCACTGGGAAACAATCACGGGGCCCCAAATTGATTGGGAAAATCATAGACGGCCCCTCCTGCTTGGCTTAAATCTAAAAATGCGGGCATGCCAAAGCTCTCATGAGCTTGCGATCCCAGTTAAGGAGTAAACACCTCCTTAAGCCTTTTGAACCATAGCTCAACCCGAACCCCGCCGAAAGTCAGTAGTGCCAGGGCAACAATAGGATAATCATGAAACAATAACCATTATGTCATCGCCCCGAGAATTCACTACGCGAATTTTCCCCATTACGCTTTTACCACCAGACTGTAACCTCTGGTAATCAAATACAACTGAATTCAAAGCTCAACAAACTCTAAATCACTCAGTTGAACTTGATTTCAATATCTATAACTGGATAAACATCTAATCTGGAAAGATTTCAACCAAAACAAGTACATTTACCCAATAGTACTTGCCACATATCTCTTATGATCACTGCAGATTACCTATACAAGCAAACATGTCCTGCTCTGCAAAATAATCAGTTTTGCATATTTGATTGTCAGCATATTAAGACACAAGCATCTTCTTTTGCTAACATGAATCCTGGAACTGGAAGCTTATATATAAGCGAACTAATTATATTTCCCAGACCTCATAAAGCATGCAACATAGAGTAGAGAATTTTGCAATGTAAACAAATGGTAATCAATCAGCCAATGAACATGGCATCTCCTGGCTACTAATTTTTTTCGTGGATATTCATGTAAATATCAGTTGAGAGTGCAGACCAACCTTGGTAGGAGATGCCATCATCACTGTCCATGGACATCACTGATGGAGCATATGCGGGACCATTGGAACGGTTTGCAACATGAGAAGATTTGGGCAAAGAATCTGTAACTTTTTCCTGAGACTAAAAAATCACAAATAATCAGAACCATCAAGAAAGATTGTTAAAAACATGCAATGGATTAAATATGACTAATAGGACTGAACACAAGAGAACTACTTTGCCCGGAGGCTGTAGGGGAAATATATTGGGGACCACACTGACGATACAATCTGCAGGATTGATGGCTCCTTGGCGCACCAAATTTTAGTGTTAGCAATGTCAAGACTTTTCATCACAGGGACTCTTTTCTGCTTTTGAACTTTTTCTGATTGGTGAAAGAATAAAACGAATGCAGCCTTTCAAATTTGACAACAAATCCCTCAAATGGGCCCCACAATCCCTTTAAGCAAAGCAAGGGCCCGGCTAGAGCCAAAAGGCTGAAAGGATACCCAGATAAGGGCTTCTGACACTCAGGCCAGCTCCACAGGCCTTCTGTGAAGCACCACTCCATTTTCTGGGCATACTTTTGTTTTAAACCACCTTTCACTTTAGAAAAAGGAGGAATCTTACCAAATGCACAGGTACAAAAGAATACAAATTTTCACTCGAAAAGGTGAGCAGGCTGCCACATTTTCAAGTTCCAAAGATACATCTTGTTACCTTAAACAACACATTTTCTATACGAGGCAAGAATAATTCAAACCAACGAAGCAGACAAATTGGGACTTAAACACCAGCATGATAAATTACTAATGTATGAAGTTATTGAAGGCACCCTAGGAAAAACCAGAGCAGTCACCCACTACATACGCTGACAATGCTATAAGCCTATGGTTGAGTTGATATGGATTACAATTATAACCTAGTTTTCTGCTTACATTAAAAAGCTTTTATGTCCCTGACCCATGGCCTTCATCAAACTCCTATGTTGAGAAAAATATTCGGATAGTGAAGTAAACCATAGACAGAATAACTTGGTAAAGTTAAAATGGGGCAACCTTTAATTTCTTCAAAGGACCACCAATCAAACCATGACTCCAACTGTTTGCAGACATCTTGAGACTGCCTACTCCTCGTAGGGGAAAAAGAGCAAGAATGCTTGCTACTTAAAAGGTCCCCTACAACTAGTGACCACGTGCCTACATAATACAAATATATATAGCAAGAGGTGATCCTGTGAGAGTCCACTTTATTATCAGTTGAAGACATCTGCAAGACAAAAAAGAGGCAAGGACAGGCAGAGACACAGTCCTTAATCCTTATATGTGTACGTGGATAGAAGAGTAAATATAATAAGAAACAAGTTCAGTGGAGCATACCTTTTTGTCTTTATTTTTTCTTGCTGAATTATGATCCTCCTTTCTGCGTTTGCCATTTTCCTTTTTCTGGAAATACAAAGGGAACATTTGTAATTTACCGATTACCGATAGGAGTAGAAAATCATAGGTATACTCAAATTATGGTTGATGCCTTCAATTATTTTACTCTATCCATCGGTCATAACCAAGCTAATTAGCATCAAGGAGTTTGTTTGTAGTTCTTTTTTTTCTGTTTGGGAATGGAGAGAGAGAGAGGGGGGGGGGGGGGGGAATTACTCTATGGACCTTGTCATTAACAAGATTTAGTTGCATAAATTACCCTCAAGCAATGGAAGTCAAAAATACTTAAGGGTGACTTGGAAAACTGAAACCCAAAACTATGTGCATGACATACACATGGACACTCACATATCCAACACACAAACATCGTGATATGCTCACCAGCAAATGTTAAACATATTATACCACCAGAAAAAAGAATATCAAACTTTTCTTTTTATGCTTCTGGACAAATCATAATTTTGCGTTATAACAAATGAATTCTTGTTCCCCTTTTTTCTTCCTTTTTTTAGTTTTTCTTTTTTTAAATTCAGGAGCTGGTGTAGGTGGTGGTGATGGTTCTCTAGACAAGTCATCACAATCTTTCTGTCATCGGTATAGGTCATTCAACAAGTGGAAACACATGATTTACTTGTCACTACAAATATAAAAGGCTACATTAGGTTAGCTTATCACATCACATGCGTGAAAAATTGAGGGAAGTTTGACAATTGTGGAAAGCTACTTGCAAACATATATCCCATAAAGAGCATTGAATGACAAAACATAACATTAAAACCTAGAAGCATTACACCAAGGATTTCCAAACAATGAAACATAAAATATACAACATATGTTCCAGCTGATTCAACTATCATCTACTAATCTGCTTTCCTTGTGTTTCAGAAAATCAACGCTGAATAGTCATAAGAACCAAAAGAAGAAGAAGAAAAAAAGAAAACTAGCAACAGGAAGTTGAAAGCTTACGCTCATCCATCTGCAACGCAATGCCACATCCCGAACTGTCTTATCTTTTAATTGCATTGCAATTTTGGCATAACGAACTATATTGGTTTCTGAGGCATACCTGCAAACAAATCGCTGTCAGTCAACCTTAATACACACTACTATGCACTACCTAGAAGAGAGCAAACAGAACTAGACTATAAGAAATCCTAAAAAGGAAAACAAAATCTTCAAACGTCAGTAAGAATACTGATATGCTCACAGTGACTAAAAAGGAATTTACAGACACCGATTAGATAATCGTAGTTATTGAACCATAGTAATTTGTAATTTACAAATCCTTTTTCTTCATATGGGAATCCTTGTCTTACTAGAGCACATCAATACTTTAACTGTTTATCAAAGAAAACATATGGAGAATCTACTGCACTGTTACAATTTGGATACAAACAATTTTATCATGTGTAACATAGACCACTTAGTGCACCAATGCAGGGGAGTGATTGATCTAAATTGTAGGTACTACAACAAAGGAGGAAGCCAAAAAGAATGTGTTGAGGTCATGCCACTGGGCATAACAGCCTTGGATTTAGCCCAGTAGAGTCGCTTACAGAGCCAATAACAGGATTTGTAGTCTAGCTATGATTTAGGTGTAAATTGGGTTCAGGTAAAATATAAAGGGAGTTGAGATGAAATATTAATCAAACCTTTTCCGATCAAGTTCCTTAATGGCTCAAGCATGTACGACAGGACACCACCAGGACAATTACATACCTTGGGAAATAAAATAACCCCACTAATTATTTGTTAACATCCTTTAAACCCTTACCAGAAAATAAATGACCACTCCAAATTTCCCCTTTTTTCATGCCGTGGAACAGGACTATGTGCCTGTGTTTGGCAGCATGGAGTTGGTGCCTTGTAGTTGGAAGAAAATAAGTTCAAATTCGTACTGAGAAAGTACTTTTGTAGGCTCAAAATTAGATCAAAAATTTGAACTACCTATCACAGCATAAGCATAAATGCATAATTATGCCATATTTTGATAAAAAAAAAAAAAAGGCACAAAAAGAGAATCGACAAAACCAACAGGAAGAACTTCGAAAAAGAACATTTGCAACGACTCTCTACAGTTTCTACTAAAAGTTATCATATTAGAGCAGTGAAAGGATAGAAATTCACCATATATATTACAACTAAACACAATTTCCACGAAAGAACCAAACTAGATCCATATAACACAACGCATGAATGAAAAAATAATAAAAGAATAACAGTTTGTCCAACAATATTCCAAAAAAGTAAGAATAAGAATACAGAAATCAGCAAAGAAAACCCAAACCCACATATACCACCCTTTTGCCCATGAGCTAACATACTTACCTAAACATGCATATACACACTAAAACACACACACGGAGAGAGAGAGAGAGAGAGAGAGAGAGAGAGAGAGAGTGACCGACTTGGTGAGCAATTCTTCCAACAGAGACTGCTCTTCGTGAGTCCATTCAACGGAGAGACCCGGGTTGTGCCTCAAGGAAGCCTGAGTCGGACCCACCACCGAATTCTCCGGAACTGCGATAGCACCACCGTTATTGGTGGCGCCGTTTCCATTATTCGCACCTTCTTGGTTATTATTCCCTGTCGGGTTCGCACTCGCAGCCATCAAAATCTCTATCAACACCTTTCTCTCTCTCTCCTTCTCTTGCAAACAAACTACCTCTCTCAATCTTTACACGCCAATCGCTTCACAATTCCTGTCTGAAAAAAATTTACTCAAGTTGATTATAAAATTGGAAGTAGCAGATCAGCTGACGACGAACAGATTCCGAACATGTTGTTTAGCGAGACCACTATAGGGGGGAGAGAGAGAGAGAGAGAGAGAGAGAGAGAGATTGAGAGACAGAGAATTGGGTACGGAACCGTCTGAGTGGGGTCGTTTGAAAAAAATTTAAGCAACTTGACCATCAATCAATAGAGAATCTAATTACTCTAATAAATAAGGGAGAATTTCACTTTAAACCCTTGAAATATAAAATCTTATACATTATACCTTTAATATTTTTTAAATATTATAATGCGATACTTCCACTACCTTTTTTTTGTATATTCTGTCAAAATCTATCCTATTAACCTTTACGGAATAAATGACAAAAATTAATGAAAAGGTGATATTATAATATTTTTTAAAAATTTAGGGTATAATATGAAAAACTTAATAATTAAAAATATAAAATAAAATTTTTAAAATTTTTTAGGATACAAAATAAAAGTCGTACCATAAATGATGTGGGGTCACTTTTTTACTTTTTTTTTTTTGTTCTCATCTCTAACCTCCTATTATTTTAGAAAAATCATTGCTGTACAAACTTTATAATACAATCATAACTAAGATTTGCATGTGCTTATTTTTTTCCCAATTGTCTGTAAATTATTAAAAAAAAAAAGAAGATGTAGGGTAAATCAATCTCTAAGACATGTCACTAATAATATAATAACCTCTAATTATTATAAATTGTAAAAACAATTCTATCTCACATCATTTTTTCTTATCTTTTTTTTCAAAAACACGAGGGGCGGTCCTAGATATTTTAGGGTTTAAAACGTAAACAATAAATTAGGTTTTTTTAATATTAATAATAATTTTTATTTTTGGAAATACAAAAATATTAATTAAAATTTTATATTCAAGTTTTTGTATTACAGTTGAACTTGATGGAGAGAGAAGAAAAGAAAAAATGATTGAAAATTTATGATAGTAAATTTAAATTTAATTTTTAATAGCTTTAGTTTTATTTTTAGCTTTTTTTTATTTTCAAAAAATTGAATTTTATGGTCTTTTAATTTCATGGGTTGAATTAATAGGGTCAATCCACTCAAATTAAAATCTTTAGTTTGAGGTTAAATTTAAGTTTTTGTGGGACCTATTTTTTAAGAAATTAAATTTTTTATTTAAATTATTACTATAAACTTAAAAATTATGAGAACTTGCTTGAAATATGACCTAACGCCTAAAACTTTATTGGCTAATAGTTGGGCCAGCCCTGAAAAACACAAATACCTACATCAAAGAAGGTGCACAAAAATCCTGCACAACCACCAACCACTATGAAATTATGATTATTCCATTGCGTGTCTATCTCTCTATCAATGCCAGTTTTAAATTTCACATATGTGATGATTGAATTCATGCATTTCATTTATTCAAAAAAAAAAAAAGGGTTTGTATTCAAGTAATTTGAATTTTAAGTGGTTTTCAACATAATTAATTGTACTATCAAGTCAAAATTTGAATAGAACTTGGAAATAGTCGTTGATGATAGCCATATGTGGTGTGTGGGTGGTGATGGTGGGTGATTGTAGGTTATGGTTATTTCTTAGTAATCACGGGGTATGTGTGTGCCTCTTCTGCGTGGTGGGTGTTCTATTTGTTTCATAGTGTTTATATACGTGAAGATGTATACATAAAAAAGACACACGTGTCCGAGACAAATAGAGAGAGAGAAACAAGAAGAATAAACGCACTTTAAGTCATTTTAAAAACAACATTGGTCTCATATTACACACTAATGATTTTCTTTTTGAGATTATTTCAGAACCAGTTTAAATATACTATTTTTCAATTGAAATATTTGTGATATATACATGGGTGATCTCCGACAATAATTTGAGATAGCTTGTCCTAAAGTGAGCTTGAATGAGATCCATGAAACAATGAATGAAGTCACAAAAGGGCTAGGAGTGGTTTTTAGTTTATCTCATCAAAATTTAAGTCAGGTGGCATTAAAAACTCAAAAGAAAAGTGTACAATGTAAAGTTAATTCAGTATGCATATCTATGGTCTGTTTCATTAGGGTATTTATATTTTTGGTGGGGCTATTCTCACCTCACAAATTTCTAATTCCACCCCATTTAATTTCTCATTTTTAAACTACTAAGTCCACCTCTTCTATATCTACCCAATTAGTAACTAAATTCACTTCATGCTATGTACACTTCATTAATAGTTAAGCACACTCATTTTATGTATAACCTTTTAATGAAAGAAGTCATCGTAAGAAAAGAAATAATAAAAGAAGACAATTTAGTTTGAATGAATAAATATATTTATAAAACAAGAAAAAAAATCAAAAAAGAAACAAGTAAAAAAAAACTAAGCATGCTAAAACAAGAAAAAAGAAAAGAACGAAACAAGAAAAAAAACATAAAAAAATAAGCAAAACGAAACAAGAAAAAAAAAAAATTAAGCAAAAATTAAAAGAATAAGCAAAACTATAAGACGTAAAACCGAATATGAAAAAAAAAAGTATTAAGCACAGACACAAAATTGAACAAGAAAAAAAATAACAAACATAGATGCAAAACCTTTAAAAGATAAAGAAGAACAAACAATCTGAAAATATACATATATATACACATATAAATTCTAAAAAAAAAAAAATTACTAAACCTGACAAATATATCAAAAAAATACAGAAAAAAAATGAAAATCCATATAACAAATATGAAATTAAACATAGAATTAAATTGAGAAATAATACTAACCTGTATCTCACTAAAAAAATTCAGATTGAAAAAGTATTTTTGTGAGTATATGAGAAGAGATAGAGAATGAACTCTAATTATAACAAAATATAAAATAAGTTTACTTATTAAAAAGGGTGTATGTAGTATGGGGTGAGTTTAGTTACTAATGAGATTGATATAAAATGGGTGAAGTTAGTGGTTTAATAATGAGAAATTAAATGGGAGTAGGAATGGAGATTTGTGGAGTGAGAATAACCTCACCCTCATACTTTCAAATATGATGACATGACATCCTATCCACTCAAATACCTAACTTATACTTGACAGCCTACGACTATCAAGCAAGAATCTATTATCAAAACACTGCAGATTTTAAAATATAAATGCTAAAATACAGTAATTTTGAACTTAATTACCAATCTACAACACTTTTTAAAAGCGGAATCAACAAATTCCGACTTCATTTGTAAACGGAATCAAAAATTACGAATTCATTTGAAAGTGGAATTAAAAATTACAAAGTCATCGTTTAAAGCGGAATCAAGAAATACGTTTTTATTATTAATAGCGTATTTATGAAATCCGCTTTTACTTAAATAATCGTATTATACAAATACATTTTCAAATATAAAGTGTATTCTATAAGTCCGCTTTATCAAATGGAGTGGATATAACAAATTCGCTTTCATTTGAATATTTCTACTCCCACTAGGCACCCTTTCTGTTATTTCACTAGTTTCCCCTCTCTCTCCTCTCTTCCATCTGTGGAAGGCGAATACCTCCTTTGTCTCTCTTCTCTCTAATGTGATTTTTCTTCTCTCTTCTACTATTATCTTTGTTTTTGTCATCCCCTAAGCTCTGCCCTTAAAATGCAAACACCCTAACTAAGGAAATCCAAGCGTAGCCCTAAGTTTATTCGAAGAAGCCAACGGAGGTCTTCTGCAAGATTCGGCTGTAAGATTTGTCTGAGGTTCCTTCTGAGCCCTAATTCCAAATATTAGATTTTTAATAGGCCCTAACTTACTCAATGTTTTGTCAAATGGTGCAGTGGACTGGTACACACCCGTGGGCTAGGTCTGAAGCAAAGAGAAGACAAGGCTTCACGTGTTAAGCAGAAAGTCTTCTTATTTAACCAGGTACACTTCAATTGATCATGTAATTCAGGAAATTCCCAAGGTTAGAAAAAAATCCCCATTGCCCAAGTCCCATTACTGTGTGATTTCGAAAATTTCCAATTTTATTAAATTTTCAATCCCCATTATTGTTTTGAGTAATTTGAACTGCATCCTTACTTTAGAAAATTAGTGTGTGAAGGTAAATTAATTTTTTTGAATTTTATTCAGAATATCCTAGTGTATACCGAATGCTATATTTTGGATTAAATTATGTTTTTTGTGTATTAGGAATAGTGATATGTGCTTATATTCCATGTTACAGTTGAAGGTGTTAGGAATATTGGTTTGTGCATTAGGAATATTGATCCGTGTTTTGATTAAATTGTGTTTCATAGGCATTTGAAAAATATATGCTTGTCTTGCACCATATTCATGTACAATGGATAATATTGTGCTCGAGTGTGTGTGTTATACCTTGTTCAATTAGAGTTATATTTGAGCAAAATGAGAGATATTATAACTTCAAAAATATAAGAGGAGCATAATTGTCCAAGCCAAATGGGGTAACTTATACAATTTTCAACCAACTGCTGATAAAAGATTTTATGCTTTTACCAATATAAGTAATGTACATATTAAAAAAAAAAACAGAGCAATTTTATTGAATGAATCTCAGATTTTACAAGAATTAAAAAACAGAAAAATCTGTTTACAAGAAAAAATCAGAAAATCATTTACAAGAAAAAAACAAAAATTTTGTTACATAACAGAATTTCTGTTTGCAAGAAGAACAAAAAATCTGTTACAATGAATAACAAACAACCAAAAAGCCATTTATGGCTTTAATCCTTCAAAATTATCAATTGTTATCAACACTTCTCCATTAAAAATGCTCAACACTCCCCCAGCCTGCATACGCTAAACCAGCTTAGCTGACACTTCCCGTATCCCACCTCTCATCCATGATCATAAAAAACCAGAACACTTTTGGTTCTTAACACAGGCAAACATCTCTGGTCTTGGACAAGCCTCTGGAGCGTAGGAAGTTGACTGGACACAGAAAAATCAGTAGAAAAGCTATTCAGCTTAGCCAAGGCATTAGCAATATAGTTAGGCTCCCTGTAAATATGTTTCAGCTGAAAAACCATCTTACTAAGCAGCTGTCTAATTTGGTTTAAAATAACCAAATAAGGCCAAGCACATCCGTCCTTACCTTTCACAATATTGACCAACACCATAGAATTAGACTCATT